TTGTGTTCTGCTTCTCCCACTTCGCCATGCGTGATGCGTTACAATAGCAGCGTCGTCCTCGCCGGAGTCCTCGCCGTCCACCGCCAGAGTCGTCCGCCGTGTCCGCCGTGCAGTTGTCCTCGCCAGAGCCAGAGGCGTCCCCGCCAGATTTGCCCAGCAAGCTGGTTTTGCGAGTGCCCGCCACCCCGCCAGGGTCGCCCGCCAATCGCTTCTGCGAGTGTCGTCGTCCGCCGTCTTGGTCAGGGTCGTCGGCCGGCCCCGCCCGAGTGCCACAGAATCGCCGTCGCCGCCAGGGTCGTCCGCCGTCCGCGAGTTTTTTTGCCAGTTGTGCCAGGGTCCCGCCAGCGTCGCCCTCCAGGCTCTTGTTGCGAGTGCCCGGGATGTGCCAGAGCTCCGTCCACTGCCCCCGCCCGCCAAGCATTCGTGCGCCTTGTTGGCAGGGTTGCCCGCCAAGCTCTTTTTGCAAGTGCCAGAGCGCCGTCCCCGCCAGGTCGTCCGCCGGTCCCGCCAAGCTGAGTGCCAGAATCGTCGACGACGGAATTCAGACCACACTCGCCAAAAAGCTGCTTGGCGGGCGCCTCTGTGCCACTCGCCAAAACAGCTTGGCAGGCGACCTGGCGGGGTACTCGCAACAAGAGCTTGGCGGGCGACCCTGACGGGGACGGCGGACGACGCCTTCCCGCTCCGCAAGGATCTTTTAAGATCCTTTCGAAGGGGCATTTTTCGGCCAAGACGCACCCATCCGAGCCACGCCAGACACTCACACCCCGCCAGTGTCGTCCGCCGGCCCCACCAGGGTCACCCGCCAAGATCGTTCTGCGAGTGCCAGAATCGACCCGGAGTCTGTCGTCCGCCATCCCCGCCAGGTACGTCCGCCGTCCCCGCCAGATTCGCTCGCCAAGCTCTTTTTGCGAACGCCGTTGTGTGAGGGTGGTCCGCCGCCCCGCCACCGTCGAGCTGTTTCAGCGCGTGCCACAAAGCAGGGTCGCTTTGGCGAGCCAGTCGTCTGTCTAGAGTCCGTCGTTCGCCGTTCCTGCCAGGCTCAGGGTGGTCCGCCGTCCCTGCAGGGTCGCCCGACAAGCTCGTTTTACGAGCGCCAGACTCAGAGTCGTCTGTCTGGATCGAGTCTGTCGTCCGCCGTCCCCGCCAGGATCGTCCGCCGTTCCTGCCAGGGTCGCCCGCCAAGCTCTTTTTGCGAGTGCCAAAGCGCCGTCCCCGGCAGGGTCGTCCGCCGTCCCCGCCACGGTCGCCCGCCAAGCTGTTTTAGCGAGTGTGTCCCCGCCAGGCCCCGCCAGGGTCGCCCGCCAAGCTCTTTGAAGGACGTCCCGGCTCCGCCAGGGTTCTCGCGCCGTCCCC